ACACACTGAGACATAAAAACAACGAAGGAAAATCAGCACAAACAGGCTGCGCAGCACTGAAGCCTCAGAATCACAGTTTTTATGTTTCATCAGTCGGTAAAATATTTAAACTGAACAGAAGCTGAAATGAAGTTTGTTTACAGCTCTACAGGAGTGTGGATTTAATCACACCTTTAATCATCCTTGATGTGGACTTCAGCTTTGCTAATAACACAGAACACAACTACCCACAATTCACTTTGTTTGAATTACAGCAGCGAGGCAGGAGCGACTTGACGGTCCTCAGTCTGAACAACGGCAGAAATGGAAATTACTGCGGAGCCGTGTGATAACAACATGAACCTTGTGTATGTCAGTCCCCGCCTTTCTTTTTGTTTGGTCGGCCCTCCTTTTGTTGTCTTATGTTCAAATGTCATTGTCTATAAAACGTTAGCACGATGACGCTCCACAGCTCATTTTAGAGCGCCATCCTCAGGGTTTAGTTCACACTGAGCCAAGATGGCAGCGAAGTCACGAAACCTTCCTGTGTGAGGATGATAATGTTTGCAGGTAGAAGGTGACTTCTACAAACCCTCCACATCGATATCGGGCGCCGCCGCCTCCCTCTGTCCTGCTCTTTCTGTCGTTCGTTCAGATCATTTCAAATGATCGTCGGAGATGTTGAAACGGTACAGATCAAATATTTCATTCCTGCATTGCTCCAACAAGCTCAGACAGACTTTTAAAAACCACTTTGGAATAATCTCACAATCCGATCCATCCTAACCCCACACGCTACTCAAAATTCCCACGGGAACTGAAACGTTCCAGCTCTCCTGAGGACAGAAGGACAGAGCTCTGGAAACATTCGGCACCACAGAAGAAGAAGAGCAGCCGACACAGGGAGCAGACCTACCTGTCCGAGGTCCAGCGTGACGTTCACCCTGTTGAACTCAGTGCTGCGGGACAGCGGCGGGCTCTGCCACCATCGCTCCGTCCCGTCGATGGCGTTGGTGATGGGATGGGCGCGGTCGCTGTGGCCCTGGCTGCAGATGTCGCAGTACTGCCCCTGAGAAGAAACAGAAATCAATCATCCTGTTACACCAGCTGTTCGGGGAACATCTGCCCATGAAGCTTCTCAAAGCGCCTCTTTGGCTGATGACAGGACAGCAGCGTTCCTCATGGCGGGG